CGAGAGAAACCCGGGACAGGAACGGGACAAGAACCGGGACAAGAACCGGGACCGGAACGGGATAACACCGGGATAAAACCGGGATAGAACCGGGACCGGGACCGGGTCAGAACCGGGACAGGTGCGGGACCAAACCGGGACAGAAACCGGGACCGAACCGGGACCGGAACGGGATAAAACCGGGATAGAACCGGGACCGGGACCGGGTCAGAACCGGGACAGGTGCGGGACCAAACCGGGACTGGGACAGGGACAGAACCGGGATAAAACCGGGACAGGAGCGGGACAGAACCGGGACCGGGATCGGGTCAGAACCGGGACAGGAACCGGGACTGGGATGGGGTCAGAACCGGGCCGGGATCAGGATCGGGACCGGGGTCGGGACGAGAGCCGGCACAAGAACCGGGCCGGGATTGGGGTCGGGATTGGGGTCGGGACCAGGACCGGGACAGAACCGGGGCAGGTGCGGGACCAAACCGGGACTGGGACAGGGACAGGAACCGGGATAAAACCGGGACAGGAGCGGGACAGAACCGGCACCGGGATCGGCACTGGGAGCAGGATTGGAACCGGGACCGGGCTGGGATCGGAACCGGGCTGGAACCGGCACCGGGATCGGCACTGGGAGCAGGATTGGAACCGGGACCGGGCTGGGATCGGAACCGGGCTGGAACCGGCACCGGGATCGGCACTGGGAGCAGGATTGGAACCGGGACCGGGCAGGAACCGGGACAGGGGCAGGAACCGGGACCGGAACCGGGGCAGGAACCGGGACTGGAACTGGAACCGGGCCGGGATCAGGACACGGATCTGGACCGGGATCGGGACATGGAGCGGGACCGGGACACGGATCTGGATCGGGACCGGGACCGGGACCAGGACCAGGACCGGGACCAAGATCATAACCAGGACCAGGACCAGGACCGGGACCGGAACCGGGACCAGGATCGGAACCGGGACCGGGACCGGGACACGGATCTGGATCGGGACCAGGATCAGGACCGGAACCAGGACCAGGACCGGGACCAGAACCGGGATCAGGACCGGGACCGGGACCGGAACCGGGACCAGAACCGGAACCGGGACCGGGACACGGATCTGGATCGGGACCAGGACCGGGACCGGGACCGGGACCGGGACCCGACCCGGCGGCGGGAGCTGTGTCCCAGCCCGGAGCGGCCCCGCGCCCGGCCCGGCCCCACGCGCTGGGGGATCTGCTCGGCCGGGGCCATCAGCCACGACTTCGTGCTGGCCCTGGGGACCCTGCCCCGCTCCGAGCACACGGTGACCCCCCCTGAGACCCCCCAAAAACCTCCCCAAATCCACCCGGGACCCCCCGGGACCGCCAAACCCACCGGGACCCCCAAAACCCACCGGGACCCCCGGGGCCATCAGCCACGACTTCGTGCTGGCCCTGGGGACCCTGCCCCGCTCCGAGCACACGGTGACCCC